GGGGGGGGCGAGTGTACGAACGAATACGAAGATTCGAGTACGGTGGATCATAATCTCAAGGGTTTTTGCTCTTCATTTTTAGATGAAACTTTTCAATCTAGTTTTTTAAAATTTTGTTCGGGTTTATCTTATCGAAATTTGAGGTATTAGAAAAGGGGATTGGGAAACCTTTATTCAGTTCCCATAGGATTTCGGGGGTCACGAGGTAGAAGTTTTTTTCTTAATGTTTTTTATGAAGTTTTGGGGAGAACCTCGTAATCTTCACGACTTTTATCTGATCTTGGTTGGGTTTATCTTATCGGGAAATTGAAGGTGACTAAACATTATGGAACACTTTTGGGCGATTTTCATAATTTTTCGGTGAATATTAGTGTAATGTGAAGAATTTTTAAAAAAATAGTTTTCATGAAATTTTGGATCGAACTTTCGCACATACATTTTTTAAATCTTATTCGGGTTTATCCCATCGGGGAATTGCAGGTGAATAAAGGGATCTTACAAAAATTTAAATCGGTTCTCATCATTCTTTAGTCGCTAATACATTCAAAGGTTTTTTAATAGTTCTTGTCGAGTTGACAGAATTTCTCTTGATTTTTGCACACAAATTTCTAATCTAGTTCTTTGGGGTCATCTTAATATCTGTAAGTTAGAGGCCATTAAAGGGAGTTTGAGAACGTCCTGTTCGCTTTTTCTTCATTTTTTAAATTCTTTCATGACACGTGATTTAATTTTTTTTTTTCATGTGTGAATACCACTTTCTAATCTATTTTTTCGTGGTTTGTCCTGAGAAACTTTTATTCGGTTCCCATAATTTTTTAGTGGATAATGACCCACAGGATTTTTATGGTTTTTGTGAAGTTAAAGATCTGAATAAAACTTTCTCATCTTTTAAATCTAATAAAACTTGATGTTTTTCTGGTTTATCTCATGGAAATTTGAGGTCATTAAACGGATCTTTGAAAATTTCTATCCAGTTCCCATAATTTTTTGTACCCTTTTATGATTATTTCCGAAAGAAAAAATAAAACTGGGTACTTAAGACTGGGTAAATGTGAAGATATTACAAAATTTACGAGACGTGTGGGCATTGAAAGGAAAAAAAATCCCAAGTGATGGAACACAGTTTGGTTGTGTTGCTGTGTAGGTAGGGAGTGAAAAATCAGAATTATCGGGAGGGTCGGGCCAACAGCTAACACGTGCAAGCCGCACGTGCACTCTTCCACTCTAGCCTCTGGGCGCGCTACAATCATTGGATGCCAAGATACACTCGGGCGAAGAAATTTTTGTTGGCAGAGAGCAGACCAACTTATTTTGCCGCTCTGTATCGTGTTACTTTTCTCAGAAAATACCGTGTAACTACCCCTAGTGAATTTCCACAAAATAATAATAAAAATGGAAATCCTCCCCTTTTCCGAAAAAACGTAAAAATAATCACCGAAAAAATAATATCTGCCATTAAATAAATGTCAAGCGGAATGAATTACGTCTCCAAACTGTTTTCTTTATTAATATCGCATGAGAAAGTAACGCCTATAGTTCACGGATATTTCCAGGAGACTAAATACTAGTTAAAAAACTGAATAAATATTTATAAATTTTTTCAAGTCTAATATCATTTCAAACATCAATTAATATTTGAAATATAAAGTCCTAAATATCTTTATATTTTTTCTGATGCTTTAGCTAATTTTACTCGTAAATTTTTACATAAATTATGATACACATGCTGCATTCAGCTCAACGCACGCACTAATTAAATTAATGATACAGTAGATTAATAATTAATTGAAAATCCCCGGATGTTGTGTCTCAGTTGAGAACTTCAATTAAAATGGAAACGTTTTTTCTTCTGAAAGACGGTTGTTATAAAGGACAATTTGTCGTCATTTAGATCGAATATACTCTTCACAGTCATGGCTTTTTGAACTTATGATCTTATTAAGGATGACCTTATAAAATGTTTGGATTTTAAATCATCGAATTTGTAAATTAAATGAAAAAAATGGGAAAAAGTCGTGGAGAATAAGCGTCTTTCGAATTGAATTGTGCAAAAATTTAATTTTTCACATATTTTCGAAACAAATGGTTTTCTTACATTAAATTAGGCTTCTTAAATTTGTTACTATTTCAATAGAACGATTTCTGGAGCCGAAAATCGATTATTCATAAACCATTTTGACAAGGTATCTTGAAAAAATTGCAATTTCGCAATTATTTTATAATCATTTTTCATCTTCCTCAAACCCCAGACTTTCCAATTTTTAAAATTTTTCTTTTCTTTATGTTTTCCCTGACGATTTAAAATGAAGAAAAAAAATGATAAAAAATAAAGAGAAAAATTCAGATAATCAAAATTCAAATAATTAAATCATCGGAAAAGTGGTCAAAGTATTTCCTACTGAAATCAAATCTCGAAAATGAAATAAACGCCAACAATCTCACTCAAAAAAGATTCACTTATTTTGCTGAATTAAAAAAAAGTTCCTTTTCTTTTTAATGTTTTTCCTGACAATTTAAAATGAAGAATAATATTCAGACATTAAAAATTCAAATAATTAAATCATCGGAAAAGTGGTCAAAGTATTTCCTACTGAAATCACATCTCAAAAATAAAATAAACGCCAACAATCTCAACCCAAATAGCTCATTTATTTTTCCGAGTGTACTTGGCACGCTACGAGTGCAAGATTCACACACTGGCACACGTTATAAAAGACGGAAGAGAAAGAGAAATGCTTTTTGAGTAGTACATCCTATTGGGCCTCTCCGCGTTACATACGAGACCCGAGAGTACGCGATGCGGCAGGAAGCGCACGATTATAGTTTGCGGAGCAACGTGGTACGTCCGTTTTGTGCGTGCGAGCCAGCTGCCATGTAACATACACACTTTTGTCGAATGTAAAAAAAGGAGAGTATGAGGAGAGGAAAATGAGACACAGGAAAAACAATTTGTGGCACACGTGCGAAAGAAGTAAGGGACGTTTGTAAAGGGAGTGACTCTCGGCTCTTCTAACAAGACTCGCACAGAGTTGAAAACACGGCTTGCAGGCCAGACAGTCAAACCAAAAAAAGAGCGTCCTAATTATAGTTACTCCGAACACTTTTGGAATACCTGTCTCCAACGATTTCACTCGTGCAAAATCGATCCAGCGATTGATCAAGTGCCGTTCAGCCACTCCATTAAACATTTATTTTTAATTTTGCACTGACATTTCTCGAGATGGAGATGTTTTTTCGTGGATATTATGTATTCGTCATGAATAGAGTTATTGCATGATTTTTGTTTATTGAATAAAATGATGAAATAGGAAATTTTCATGAAAAATGCGGGATGCCGGTATTTTCTATTCCGAAAATCATAAAAAATGGAAATCAGGAAACGTCTGCGTTGTGATGTCGTAATGTAGGTGTTCAGTTGCTCATAATTTATTGAAAACATGTGTTTAATATCAGAATTAGACACGTATTTTGGGACGATATACAATTTTTCTTAAGCTACAGATACACTTATATTCTGATTAATTTTGTCACAATTTTATGAAAAAATCGATGAAAAATGAATATTACAGGAATTATTCTGTGAAAATTAATAAAAATCTTGAAAATTCACGTGAATTTGGCACTGAATATTACCACTTCGATCAAACATTCAAATAAATTGGTGAATTCTCGTGTTTCTGCTGCTCAAAAATGTGTAATTCCATTGAATTTTCAGTCGAACTGAGATTTCCTACTATTTTGCCCTTTAAATCAAATTTAATATCGCTCTCCTGAAAACTACTACTAAATTGTACTCGCTCTATACTAAAAATCCCGAGAGTTTTGGAAAACCTAGTGCATTACGCGATTCCCTAAAATTTCCCTAAAAATGTTGAAAATTAATGATTTTTCCACCGAAATTTTAAGTGATTTTGTCGCAATTTAATAAAAAAATCGGTGAAAATTGAATTTTACTGGCATTACTTCATAAAAATTAATAGAAATCTTGAAAAATTAGGTCAATTTGGTACTGAATCCTAATGTTTTGATTAAAAATTCAAGTAAGTTAGTAAATTCCCGTTTTCCTGCTGCTGGAAAATTTGTAATTCCATCGAATTTCCAGTCAGACCTGAAATTCCATGTTTCCTTTTCCTCTAAATCAAATTTAGTATTGCTCTCCTAAAAACGACAACCAAATTGTACCCATTCTATAGCAAAAATCCTTCAAAATTTCTAAACCCTAACGCACTCCGAGATTCCCTCAAATACCCCAATAAATTTCCAAACTCGCGATTTCCCCTATATTCCCAAAAGTATCCAGAAAATGAAAATAATGGCAATCTCGCCGCCCTCCTTTACCCCCCCAACCCCCTCCCCGTCAACCGAAATCCCTCGGCAATATTTTTTCCCAGGGCTGAGATTATTCCCCCGCATTTCACCCACTGGCGGGAGGTATTTGGTGAAATGAATAGAAGCCGGAATCATGGTTACACAGGTTGTATTGCGGTAAGTCAGTGTGACGAAGGCAATGGTAGAACGAGTTGCATGTACGAAAGTTAAAATGAATGTGCATTAGTGGTAGTGACGATGGGCTAGTGGTTGGCGCCGCCGTTCGTCGGACGTTCAACAATGGTCATTCCCCTCGTGTCCCCGTTCCCCCCGACAGCCGTGCAATCCACACACACCCCCGTGCTAGTGATGGCTCAAAACACTCCACAACCCGTTCAACAGAACCTCCCCCCCCCGCGGACCCCGCACCCTCCTAAATTTCCCGTCCCAGATCCCTCAAGTTCCGCAGCCACTGCAGCCCGAATTAATCCCCAATTATCCCACACAATTACCATTTAATTGCCCCCTGCGTTATTTCTGTCCGTCAAAGTGTCACTCGCGTCTCGATGCCATCGGCATCCTCGCGGCTCTTTGGGCAGCGATTGCGCTCGTAGCGCGCTGAGGGGAATGCGTCGATGCCAGGAATCACGAGTGGTGGGGGGTGACGGGTATAAGAAAGCTCAGGTGAGGGGCGGCGGCCAGTTGACTTCGATCTGTCGAGCCCAGAGCAGGCAATTACCCCCAAATTACCAAACCAGTGATTATTTTTCTCGACAAAAATCATCAAAGAAGTCAAAGGGGAAACCCAAACCCCATAATCCAATCGGCCAAGACCCAGTGAAATAATTGTGATCACGTGAGCCACCAAAGTGCAGTGACTAATTACCTGGAGATACTCGAGGTGAATAATTATCGTGAAAACTCGTGTCATTCGAATACGATCGATAATAAACCCACGGAAGTGTGCGACGTGCGCGTCATCGTTTGAGCAAAATAACTTGAACAATAATTTATTCATCATAACGATAATGAAGGCGATGGTTGTGAGTCCAGTTGGGGGTCGTGTACCACCGAGTCGTGGGGTGCTCCACAGTAGTTTGGGTATAAATGGTACCCGACGTGACCTCGAGGCCGAGGAGGTCGCAGCATATCTCACTAAGCTCAGGTCCCTTGTTCCTGATATGCCGAGAAAACGTAAATTATCGAAACTCGAGGTCATCCAGAGGGTCATTGAGTACATATGTGATTTACAAACAACACTCGAGGAGACCAATATACATCAGGATAATACGGTTAAGACGACAACGAGACAACCGCTGCAACCACTGTTGAATGCACCGACAGGCACAAGCTCACCCACGGCTGCTGCTGTTGCCGAACGGTGACCACCAAAAAACGATCAATGAATCGAGTTATGAAGAGGAAACGGAGCGTTAAGAGGAAGCGGGGAGACAATGTACATTGGGGGATGGATTACGTGGAGACCTTCAACCGTCCGCAACTGCTCAACGGGAGCTCTCGACGGCTGCATTATTCTCCGTGAAGTTTTTTCGTTTTTGAGAGAGAGACTATTGTCCCGAGAAATGTGAATCCCAGTTCCTCGGGAGAGACTGTAAATACTGTACATATGCATATGATATATAAACTCATTGCATTCCTCGCACGACCTCGTCGAAATCGATACACTGTCCCATCCCCTCACTGCACATCCCCCTTTCGCGTCCCCTCCCTCGTAATAATTGAGACATTTTTCTTTGTTTCGCTTTCTGAGTCTTCATTCGAGGATTTGTTTTTTTTGTGCGACTCAATCTTCCAGCGAACTTCTTTTTGTTGAAATTTCTCATATTTTTTATGGATCACACCCTGTCCCAGATTATTATTTCAATTTATATTTGTAGATATACAGAGAATTAACGTAGAGAATGATGGATTCATTGTAATCATTCACACGGATTATTATAATTATTGTTATCGTTCTTTGTAATATTATTTTAGTGATGATGAGTGATGAGTAAATGGAAAATGATGAATACCCGCAAATATTGTATATTTGCAAAGACTGAAAGGCTGTAAATACATCGACAAGCGGGTTGTTGTAAGCTTTTATTATAAGAGAGAATAAGAGAGGGAGAGGAGAAAAAATAAAGAATTAAAGAACAATGTGTCCATGAACGATGTTGTTGATTCTTGATTCATTCATTTGTTTGTTTAATTTTGGGGGTTGAAGTTGGTTTGGAGCTGGAGAAATGAGGTTGGCTGGCCATTGAATGAATTATTCACGATCGATCAACCCCCGTGGGAGCCAGGGTGAAGGGGGGTCGGCCCGGGGAATGATGGGAAAAAGGGAAGCAACCCCACTACATTTCTGCCATTAGTGACGATTGGACGGCGTCAGATTTTACCCTTGTGTGAACTCCCCGTAGAAAATGAAATGAAGGACTTGGGAATGAAGATGAAATGGGGGGGAGGGGCAGGATGATGAAGAGAGGAGGGTGAGACACCCTCGGCGCAGTTGTCATGCGACTCGTGATTGTCGAGTGGCTCTCGGCGGCGGATGGGAGCATAACGGTGATGGGGTGGACTACGGGTTCCCGTGGGTATCCTTCGTTACTGGAGTTCCCAGGATGAGAGCGCGCACGCGAACAAACGCCGCGAGACACGATCAATACGGCGGACTCGTGCTTGCGAGGCGTACACCCCTGCTGGGATAACTTCTAGTCGCGGCAATTATCAATTCGTATTTTCAAAAATTTTATAATTTTTTTTTTGAGACAAAGAACAAGTTTTTCTTTTTGTGACGACCCTAAACTGAGCTCAATTGATAAATTTGTTTTTGAGTTATAGATAATTGAACAAAAGTCTCCATTTTACCCCATCCTCCCCTATATAACATATAATATTATATAATATATATAATTTTTTTATTATTTTTTTATTATTTTAGGTCCATACGGCACTGAAAAAGCTTAAAAATTGTGAAATTTCAGGCAATAAATTCCCTGAATTCTCAATCTATTGGAAATTGAGTTGATATATATTATTATATTATTATTATATATTATGATTATTTTTATTATTCATTAGGAAAAATTTCCTAATATGTAGACCATATTTTCTTGAGAGAAGTAAATTATTTTCAATGGCTTAAATCCCGAAATATTTGCGCTTCATGGAACTCGAATACATTTTCATTTATCTCTATCGTTGCGCGGTACATCATGAATATATTACGTATCGAAATATTGGCAGTGCATAACAAAAAAATTATGAAAAATTTGATTGGTAGAATAAGATTTTTTTCTCGGTGTAGGATGGAATTAAAGAGATGTTGAGGTATAATCCTTGATGTTATTGAGGATTATATAATATAGGGTTATAGATGTTGAGGAAAAAAATCATTATTTTGAGACTTCAAAGATCTTAAATTGAGACTTTCGAAAGGCCCCATTTGAGCCTTGTAAATCTTAGCTTTAGCCTTCTGAAAGTCTTAACTTGAGACTTTCAGAGGGTTTAAATTGTCTCCAAATGTCTCAAGTTGAGCATTCCAGAACGCAATTTAAGATATTTGAAAGTCCCAATTTGAGATCGCAAGTCTGAAACCCGGAAAAAAATTGAATTGAGTATAAAATATATTTGATTCAAGTATAATATACTTATAATATACTTGATTCGAATCAATATATCAGTATATAATATACTTGAATTGAATCAAGTATATTTTATACTCAAGTAATTTTTTTTCCGTGAATTGAATTCAGTAGCGAAGCGGTAAACCGGGTTAAGTCGATTTTGACTATTGGCCAGTTTTTGACGAATATCTCGGAATCTAAAAGAGATAGAAAAATTTTTGTCATGACCTTTTTATAGCTCTTAATTGGTTCTACAAAAAAGGTCATGAGAAAAATTTTGCTATCTCTCTTAGGTTCTGAGATATTCATCAAAAACTGATCAAAAGTCAAAATCGACTTAACTCGGTTTACCGCTTCACTACTGAATTTTTTTCTGCGGTGCTTGAATGATTGGGTATTTATCAGAAGCTAATAACTTAGAAGTCACCTCTGTTCTGTCGATACACTTGAGATATCCCTTGCTGGGGTGATTTCCATTCGCGGAAATTGTCAATTCCTATATTTCATTTTAAATCGGCATTGGGAGTAGAGGGAGGCATGGGCGGAATCTGATGATTAACGATGCGCGAGAATCGTCATTTAGTTACAGGATAGAGTTGAAGAGATGTTGAGGATTAGGTAATTAAAAAAATGTGCGTTGTTATGACTGAAGTTTTCTCGAGAAATTTATTCATTCGGAGTTTACATGTTTGAATGATCTTATGCTGGAGTAGTTTCTAATCTGGAGAGTTGTCAATTCGTATATAGCCGGCGAACTGGCTGTTGGCAGTAGGGGGAGGCAGGGGTGGAATATGATGATTGATGGTGCGGCAGGATCGTGATTCAGTTAGAGGATGGGATTGAAGAGATGTTGACGACTGTCGTTTTAAATCTGCGCTCTCATGACTGACGTTTTCTCGCGGAATTTATTCATTCGGAGTTGATACGTTTGGATGATTCATCGGAATCATTAATTTATCAGAAGCTAGTGGGTTTAGGTGGTAAGCCGGGAAGATGATGAAATTTTATTTTTAAAAGGCACCTTTATTCTTTCAATAATTTGACAGTCCCATAAAAACGAAACGTCAAATGTCAAACGTCAATTAAATTTTTTGTTAGATAATAACTAATCACGTCAATGGATGGTTTGAGAATGATTACGAAACCGACAATAAGGAACTTGCAAGAATTTTTTTCAGTTTCCTAATCTCAAGTTTGGAACCTGAGTAATTCATTTTTCATTCGCAAACGTTTGAAATATTGCTCATTAATTGATAATTAATCAACAAAAATCAAAATTTTGATGACTAAAAAAATCATCGAAATTGATGATTTTTTTTATTTTGATGATTTTTTTTTATTTTGATCATTAAAAGTTGAAGAGTTTAAACGCTTTGAAGCGCTGGACCAATCACAGAACGGCTCGAGCCGACTTAACCCAATCTTGAGGTGCGCCTCGACCAATGGAGGACGACAACCCCCCACTCTCTTCTTTGTTGACCAATCAAGCGTTACCCGATCGTCTTCGTGACGTCATGACCGAAAAATTGGCTTCGAAAACGACTGATTTTGCAAGTTGTCTGTAATAAATACATAGAACTCAGTCGCGAAGGGGTAAAATGGTTTAAGTCGACTTATTTCCCAGTCGAGTTTTTCGGGAATATTTCGGACTCTAAGGGAGATAGCGAAATTTTCGTAATGACATTTGTTGCAGCTCTCAATCGGCTCTACAAAAAAGATTATAACAAAAATTTTGCTATCTCCCTTAGATTCCGGGATATTCGTTGAAAACTGGTCGATGGTCAAAGTTGACTTGTAGCGTTTTACCACTTCGCTACTGAATTATTGTAAGGGAGAAGATCACTAAAATAAGCTCATGGTAATAAATCCTGCATCCCTTGCTGGGATAACTTCTATTCGCGGGAATCGGCAACTCTCATGTTGCGAGTGAATTGATGTTGAGGGCAGGGGGCAGGCATGGGTGGAATATGATGATTGATGACACGGGAGGGGCGTAATTTATTTCCAGGATGAGACGGGGCCGTTCAGGATTATGTCTTACGGAATTTCCGTTCGATGATTTTTGAAATGTCACAGATAAAGTTCTCTGTTAGGTATGAAATAATCTCGACAATAATTCGTATGTTGCGGGTGAATTGGTCGTTCGGTGGCGTGGGTGGCTCCTCATTTATTTCAAGAAAGGGATCCAGCGGTTGTTCAAGATTATGTCTTTTTTTGTGATTGAAGCGCCTGAGTCGTCAAAGAGGCAGAGGAAATTTCGTACTTGAAACGTATCTCTATTTCGTCAATAAACTTGTCACATCCTCTGCAGACGAAATACCAAGAATGACATTTTCGTTGGATATGGAATTATCTCGATAGTAAGTCATTTCCGGAGATAATGAAGAGACCATTTTTGTAGCTGAGGACATTTTTTACAAGAAAAACAGTTTGATATTTTTCCGTTAAACCAGTCGTTAAAATATTTCATCCATAAACTTGTTATATCTTCTATAAACGAAATGTCAAAGATGAAATTTTCTCTCGACATTCTCTCATGAATTCACTCATTATGACGATATAGCCCACCAATAATTACCTCTGTAAATAAAAAATCCACACTTTTTTCTATCAATTATGTTATTATTTCGAAACCAATAACTTTTTAGAGGAAATGTTCAACGATCTTTCTCGTAGCTTTACGTCTTTTTGATTGCAGTAAAAAAAACAGGAAATTTCCTACTTAAAGCGCATTTCTATTCCGTCAATAAACTTGTCTCATCCTCTACAGTTGAAATACCAAGAATGACATTTTCGTTGGATATGGAATTATCTCGATAGTACGTCATTTCCGGAGATATGGAAGAGACCATTTTTGTAGCTGAGAATTTTTTTTACAAAAAACAAGGTTGACATTTTTACGTTACGAGAGCAAACGCGCGCTGTAATTGTAACAGTCATAATTGAAAATCTAAAAATTAAATTAATCATCATGAGTTAAATTTGCCGCCTCAAACGACTGGAGCCAATAAGGAATAAGCGTGAAAGACTTGCGAGATATCGATAGTTATCGACTTTAAGTGTATGTTCTTTTTAGAATAGGATAAGAAACCACTCATTAAAATATTTCACCCATAAACTTGCCATATCTTCTATAAACGAAATGTCAAAGATAACATTTTCTCTCGACATTCACTCATGAATTCACTCATTACCACGATATACCCCACCTAAATTACCTCTGTAAGTAAAAAAATCCACACTTTTTTTATCAATTATGTTATTATTTCGAAACCAATAGCTTTCTGGAGGAAATGTTAAACGACCTTTCTTGCAGCTGAAGAATTGCCTCTCGAAACCATCCTCCCATATTTTCCCCCATTCCAATAATTCATTAAAAAAACGTGAAAATTACTTTTAACCCTCCCCCCTTCCCCCCTAAATTCCCGAGGACCACCGCCACTTCAAAATAATAAACAAACCATATGTGTTAATGAATACAGAATGACATTCATATATTTTCGAAATGATAGTATACAAAGGCGTTTGATCCACACCAGGATCTAGCAACACACTTAAAAATACAAAAGAAATACAAAAACCTCCATCAAACGGTTTAAAAATTCCCTAGAAACATTAATACCCGCGTTCTTTAAGGAACTTCTCAATGGCGAAACGATCCCTATTGAGCCAGTCAGCATTGAGTCTGATGTTCTCAATGCTCTGTTGCACAGTCCTGGCAGCCCCAGGTGTGGGATGCTCCTTGAAGAAATTCTCAACCTCGACAGCCTTCTCCTCAGACGAGAAATTCTCAGTGACGTGTTTAATGAGTCTAGCAAGAAGAAATCCCCCAGAATAGCGATCCATGAGAATCTGCCAATTCCTCTTAAAGAACTCCCAAGACATTATTCGTCCCTTGGAGTTCATGGACACCGAGATGATGGCGAAAACAGTGTCCTGAGCCCTCACCTCATCACTCATGGCAAACTCAAGGACTTTAGTGAGTAACTCCTCGTCCCTGATGGCCCCCATAGCCCTGAGAATTCTGTCCTTCTCCTCGTGAAGATCTGACTGTCGATACAGCTTCAACATGGCCTCATAAGTCTGAAGATCGCCATCAGAGAGTGCAGCCCTGTAGACAGCACTCCTGAGATCAGCAGCAAGAACACATTTCCCAGTGACATGAAGATGCAACCTCTTCTTCGCCTCGCTGATGGTATCAGCATCCCTGAATGAGGCCATTCTGTTGAGAATCAACGACCTCAGAAGAGTGTCCAGATGGCTCTCATTGGGCTTCGGATCCCACCCCAGTCTCGAAGCAATATCCTTGCAGAGGGACCTGCCAAAAGCCTTGAAGCTGTCCTCACTCTCAAGATTACTCAGGAGAATCCCAATTTTTCCAAGGCTACTCGCGATGCTCGACCACACGGTGTAATTATCCTCGAGTTGAAAGGCCTCCATGAACCTGAGGACTTCAACCGTGGAGGCGTGGCCAGCCTGTACCATGGCAAAGAGATCATCGAGAAGACCGAGTCTGTCTAAAGGTGGCAGTGAACGATCCTTCACGACTGGCATCAGGGAGGAGAGTGCCTCAGGTGTATAACGTGTCCTGTAGAATCCAATCGTTCCTGGGTTGATTTTAATCCACGAGCCCTCAGGCACGTCCTTGATCACCACTTCCTTGATTTTATCGCTCATAACAGTACTGAAGGCCACTTCTCCTGGGGATTTTGAGGTACTGACACTCACTGGAATCATCCAGAGGCTCGAGTCCTTGTCCACAGATCCATCAGCCAGAAATCTCTCCTGAGATAAGGAGAGAATTCTGTCGTTTCCATCTTGACGTTCGTCTACCTTGAGCACTGGAAATCCCATTTGCTTTGTCCAGGTGGACATTACAGCTCTAATTGGCTTGTTGCTGGCCTCCTCGAGAGCTGCCCAGAGATCCTCGGTTTCGGCGTTACTGTAACTGTGCCTTTTTAAGTAAATGTTCATTCCCTTTCTGAAGTCATCGTCGCCGATGTAGGCGTGAAGCATTCTGATGACACTTGCACCTTTGTTGTAGGATATGTCGTCGAATATCTCGTCGATCTCCGATGGGTGGCCCACTGGCACCTCTATTGGATGACTGTTCTTTAAACCGTCGAGCTCGAGGGCTTTGATGTATGTGTCGGTGACAAATTGAGTCCAAATGTCGTACTCGGGGAACAGATGGGCCACACAGAGGAACTCCACGAAGGATGCGTAACCCTCGTTCAGCCACAGATGTGTCCACCACTCCATCGTAACTAAATTACCGAACCACTGGTGGGCGAGTTCGTGACTTACCACTAATGCTATCCATTGTTTTGAGACTGCTGATGTGTTTTGGGGGTCTACCAGGAGGCATGTCTCTCTGTAAGGAGAAATTGGCAGAAAATGGTATTTCAGTAATGATGCAGTAGGAAAAGACGAACAGGTTCTCAAAAAAGTTTTGTTTCGACCAGAAAAATAGCAAGTTGAATATTATCAAAAAAGGAAATGTTTTGAAAATGTTAAGTAGTAAAATATTAGACACATTTCCTCAAGAATATTAGTCATTAGGAAAATAATGAAAAATAATTTGGAGAATTGTAGCAGTTACTAAAATACTGGGTAATATTGTTGAATTTAATATTCATTGAGATGTTATAATTATCAATAATATATTTGGCTCAATTTGCGCATTCTTATGCCCTGATAATGCCCTGAAGAATGACATTCATTAAAGAAGTACTGAAAAATAATTTGGAGAATAGTAGTAATTACTAAAGCACTGGGCAATATTGTTGAATTTAATGTTAATTGAGATGTTATAAAATATCAATGATATAATTGGATACATTTGCTCATCCTTACTGAGTGTTAAAATATTTTACAATGCTCTGAAGAATAGTATTCATTAAAAAAGTAATGAAAATTATTACAAAATATTATCTATTATGAAAGTAATGAAAATCTATTTGCGAGAATAGTACCAATTACTAAAATGGTGGGTAATATTGTGGAATTTCATTCATGTCATTGTTGCATTCATTGAGATGTCATAAATGATCAATAATATAATTGGCTAAATTTGCTCATCTTTACCTGTAAGTCACCAAGCCCCAGTTCTCCATTGCACCGGCTGAAAAATCTGCTATTGCTATGAGATCCATCTTTGGGAGGGGGTACGAGATGCCGAAGTACTTGTTGTAGTAGGGGAGGACTTTGGTGGCTACTTCCAGGGCAAAACGACCTTGTTCTTGTTTGGACTTTGGGGTGTAGACCCGGACCACTGTACCGTCCGTTGTTTTGTCCTCTACGAAGTCAAATTCACCTACGACTACTGCCACGAGGTAGGTGGACATTATTGGGGACTTCTGGAATTTTATGATTTCTAGGTTGTCCTTCTTCTCCACGCGCTCCACGGGCTGTGAAAATATTGAAATTTCAGGGGTTGAACGACTTGTTTGGGTGGATTAAATAGAAAAAGAAAAACAAAAAAAAATATCTGAATTTATGTAATTCAAAGGAATTGAATACTTAGAACAAAATCTGATACTCATTTGTAGATTAATTTTCATACACACTTGAATGCCAAGAAATCAATTTAAAATATATAATAAATACAAAATTTTTAAATGAATAGAAATCACTAAAAATCATTCGGTTTGATTTAGTTTGGATTGAGTTTGACAGAATCAAATATTTGGAGCAATAGTTGACTGTTTGAAAAATTATCCCCGTTTTTTATTAAAAATGATTTTAAAAAGTTATGAATTAAAAAAAAATTACTTAAGAGAAGAATGATCAGAGCATTTCATAAATTTCTTGAAATCAAAATTTATAGACAAGAATCCTATTAATTCCTGACTTGAAACTCGTATTTACAATCTACGAACTCTTCCGAAATTCACGAATTTACGAATTTTCATAAAAACTGAACAATTCCTGAAGAAAAGTTGATGAAACATTTAGAGCCTTCTATTCTTTGTAAAATATAGCATTTGCAGTTAAAAATCATCAAAACATACGACATAAATCATAAAAACCTCCCAATCATTTGCATGAGTTGATAAATTTGTTGAGAATTTCCATAAAAAACGAGATACACTGTTAGAAAAAAAATCAACTTCCATGAAAGGTTGACTAGTACTTTTCAGGATAGTGACATTGAATTCATCTCAATTCATAAAAAAAATTTGGCCCAAAATTTGATATTCATTCAATTTTCGATTCACTAAAAATTCAAGAATACATTTACCTGAATTTTCTCGATTTCCATAAACTTTCGTGGAAAAATTGGATTGAAACGTACAGTTTTCATTCTTTTTCAATAAAATTTTCAATAACGAAATTTCTTGAAACTCCCGGGAAACTAAAATGTGATGAAAATTTCAGGAAAATGGACCAAAAATTTCCGTCAAAAATTGTTAACAGTGTATAACAACGAACAACAAGCAAAAAAACAAACAAAAAATCGATAAAATTTTGAAATGATTAGTAAATCATTGCGATCCGTTGCTCACCATGTTTGAAAGAGCCGTGAGGCCAGCAGGTACATTAAGGGTAATATCGAACATGGCTTTCAATGATGGCTCGTCCCAGCAGGGAAAGCAACGTCTCGCATCAGTTGCCTCGAATTGCGTCACCGCCGAGTACTTAACACTCCCATCAGCTCTGCAAATGCATGTTTCATATTTTCCCCAATTAGTTGAGTTTGTAAATATCCTCTTACCATATTGCAAAGGCCAATAGCATTGGGCAAATTGTGGAGATTAAGTGTTATGCCAAATGCTGCCTTGATACTTGGCTCGTCCCAACACGGAAATAATCGGCGTGCCGAAGTGGGACAGAGATAAGTGACGGCAACAGGCTCTTTGTCTTTTCCAGCACTATAATTTATTGTGTTTAATTGCTTTGTGATTACGTAAATTGATTGTTATCGTTAAGCAAATAAGGAATTGCTTCGCAAACCAGAAAAACAATTCTTTATAGGTGGATTATCGTTCTAGGAAGATGAGGAGGTGGAGATATCTCAGTGGAATAGTCACATTTTGAGTGTATCAACACAGCTGTGGAGACTTCCGATCATTAAATTTATCAATTAAATTGTGTGAAGACAATTTGGAAAAAGCAGATCACATTTTGCAAGACATAAGCTATGGAAATCGTTTCAAATATTATGGAGACCTCATTTTTTGGTGTCAATACCATTTTTTCAAAAATTCTCAACATGAACTCAGTTTCGCAATCCCCAAGAAATTAATTTCAGGATGAAAAATTGATTAGTCATAAATTATTTTTCATACCAAAAACGTTGAAATGTTGAAAAATTTCAAGGTTTCAATTATTTTATGAATTTCCATTAAAAATTAGACATTCTATTTTTTTAGGTTCTGAAATTTCTTTTTGATGGTTGAAAATAAAAAATTAAATTCAAAGCTGAAGCTGATCTTCACCCGCAAGTGTTGAGAATAATTTCACCCAAAAAAAAAAATGACAAAAACTTCTCCAAAACGATCAAAAACGTTTCCAATTATTTTGATCCCGTTTTTTTTTTCTGAAAACCGAGTTTCACATTATTCTTTATATTATTGTCTGCAGACCAAACCTTTCAACTGAGTCAGCTGATACTATTTATAAATACCGATCACCATCTGTTCAAATTAAGCTTCTCTTATAACGTGAAAATACTCTTCGAAATAAAAACGGAAAAACTTCTCACAAAAGTGGATATAGACTAAACTCCATGAAACCCCCAAAAACATAAATTCCCATCAACCCTAGACCATCCCCCCATCTGCCCCCACCTTCCTCAAACATTCCCTCAGTTTCCATCCAAAAACTCCAAAAATAGGGGAGGGTGGGGCAAAAAGAACACTTGATTTTTTTTAAACCTTAATGACGGGTTGAATTGTTAATGAAATGGAATATTTTCCCTTTGTGATGAGCCTAAACTCATTTTACCCCACCCTCCGCACGTATGAAAAAATCGTATAGAAATTTTCTATACGGATATTTTTTATACAAATTATTTCTATACGATTTCTATAGGTTTGATCCTATGCGACCCACCGCCACACGTTTCGAAACACTTCGTATGGAGTTGCGACATTTCCCTACGTTTTTCTCTGGAACGTTTAGACATCTTTCGTATGAAAATAAAAATTTATGTGTAGGGGAGGATGGAGTAAAATGGACTCTGGACTTTTTTAAAATTACCCATAACTCAGAAACAAATTCATCAATTGAGCTCAGTCTAGGCTCATCACAAAGGGAAAAAAATCAGTAGCGAAGCGGTAAACCGGGTCAAGTCGATTTTGACTTTTCGTCAGTTTTTGACGGATATCTCGGAACCTAAGAGAGATAGCGAAATTTTGCTCATGACCTTTTTTATAAGACTTAATTGCATCTACAAAAAAAGTTACGACAAAAATTTTTCTATCTCTTTTAGATTCCGAGATACTCTTCAAAAACTGGCCAATAGTCAAAATCGACTTAACCCGGTTTACCGCTTCGCTACTGAAATGATCTTTGCATTGAAAAAAAATTATTGAATTTCATCAACATTTCAACACCTAATCAACATTTTAAAAAAAGTTAAGTGTCCGTTTTACCCCAACCTTCCCTAGAAATAATTCGTACAGAAAATATTCGTATAGACATCCAAATATCGTATACGGAAATCCTATAGAATTTCTATACGCAATTCGTATAGAAAATTTCTGTACGATTTTTTTATACGTGCCCCTATATATTCAATCACTGTGATTCTCAAGAGAAAGTCTATTTACCCAGTGTACTTGCTTCTGTACAATCCCTTCATCTTGTCATTGATCTCCCCCACGAAATCAAAATAAAGTCTTCCATTCTTGCCAACTGGTAGCTTCTCAGGAAACAGGAGAGTGGCCGTCTCATTCTCCACCGAGACGTCGATTTTTTTCGCCTCAAAACTGGCACCCTCGCCATTCTTGTAGACGACCTTCTTGATATCGATGTCGAGTGAGTTAAGAACGACCTTCTCAGTCGAATTCTTCACCTGAGGAATGACAATCGCCGTATTTAGGGGTTATGTTAGACATATGGCTGCTGATATCCCCCCCGAGGCACCAAAAAATAAAACCCCTTTCCCCTTATTTACCTCAATCTCGACATTCTGCGTCCCCTCGAAAGTGAAATTCTTGAGGTCCGGGGTGAGGCTTATCTCGTAATGATACGGTCTCACATCAGTGGGAAGCCGGTTGAAGGGTTTCTTGTCAGCAGTCATTTTAACTTCAACTAATAACTCACCCTTTGAATAATTAAATCTCCGTATCGCAACAGAATTAACTACAACTCGCAACACCTGTCTAGTCGTACTAATTATCATCGACTTCCTCCTGTTTTTTCCTTGAAAAAGTTGTCAAGAAGAAAAATACCTTATCTCCCCCACATTTGTGCCAACTCACTCACAGGCGCAACCAACCACGACCCACAATGGAAATGCAATAGGTTACAGAAGCCGAAACAGATGGAAACTGTTTCCACAAATAACATGAAAAATTATTGGGGGCTCGACACAGTTGTGCCCAGAATTCGGACGAATTTTTTATTCTGCATTACAGAGGGCGCTAATGGGGAATATTTTTAAAAACATTGCGATCTTTTGAAGCATAAGTAATGTTTTGGAAGATCCGATCAATTAGCCCCTCATGTATAGATATTCCAAATTTTTATTTTTTTCCTCATTGAAGTAGTTTTGAAGAAAATTGCGAGCTAATAAATAACATTTGCTAGTTAGTACTTTTTTTAAAATAAATTTTTAAAAAATCACCTCTGAAAAAAAAGGCGTTATCCCCTCTATTTCATTATTTCCAAAAAATTTTATCACAAATCGATAGCAAATTGTTTGAAGATTTTTGCGAGTTAAGATAAAATCGTCAATGCAATCCTATTATTGTGCAAATTAACAATTCCAATTTCAACTGAAAACCCGAGTTGAAGACCCGAGTTTGTAGCAAAGGTGTCAGACAAGATATGAATGTTTTTTTGGGCTCAAACGAAAGAGCGGGTCGAGAAATGACGTGCTAGAGCCTCTAAACATGACAAATGTCTCTAAAGATGATATCTGTTTTCAATTGAAAAGCAGAGTTGTGACATCATTGTCTAGGAGGACAATGGGGTCTAGGAGTATGTATAGAACATTGGGGTCTAGGAGTCTCCCCTGGTTCAAAACCATCTTTAGAGGTCCTAGCACGCCATTTCTCGACCCGCTCTTTCGTTTGAGCCCAAAAAAACATTCATATCTTGTCTGACATCTTTGATACAAACTCGGGTCTTCAACTCGGGCCTTCAATTGAAAACCCGAGTTGAAGACCCGATAACACCTTTTTTCAGGGGTGATTTTTCAAAAATTTATTTAAAAAAAAGTACTAACTAGCAAATGTTTTTTATTAGCTCGCAATTTTCTTCAAAACTACTTCAATGAGGAAAAAAATAAAAATTTGGAATATCTATACATGAGGGGCTAATTGATCGGATCTGTTTTGGAGCTGTCATTTTGGAGCAGATGCGGTCCACATAAGTCTTCATTCGTAATTCAATTAAAAACCGGGAAATGGTAGAAGTTAATTGAATTATCGAGCTTTCGGTGGTGGATTTTATTGCTCTATCCACTGAATATTGAGTTACAAAGCCGCATTGCACAGTGAATGCACTTATTACCAACGGAGTGGGAGTGACAACCGTTGTTATTATGATGCTAATGGCACAGGTGGCATTGTTAAGGTCTCCTCTTAATTAATTATTTAATTGCCTCGCGATCATTAAAATTCAACTGTTCGAAGCAGCCCCAGACGTCGCGTAATTTCAGCTCATCAAAAAGAAAATGACGAAAAATCTTGAAAAATCCCCTGAGCCCCCTAATTATCAATCAATAAAAATTGATCAGTCGATTAATCGATGAATTTAAACCTCGAAAAATCGTAATGACAAAAATGTCAAATGATTCTTACCGACAGAGTCTAATAAAGCTGTCGAAGCTCCCCGAGCGGCACCCAGATGTCTCTGCGAAGCCCAAAAGCCCTCGAATTCCTCCTTTTTCCGTAAAAATCGACCCACAAGACGTTACAAACCTCAAATCCCCTCCCCAATCGCCTCTCACTCCCAAAAAACCGCCCTTAAACCCCAGGAAACCCAAAAAACGCACTTTTGATCGCCGACCTAAAGCCGAGTTCACAACCCGCCGGCCGCAGTTCCCTCGTGATCACTTCTGTATTTCCTGTTCCCAGTATTTGCAAACCCATAGGAGGGGAGAGCAGTTCACCACTCTCCAGTAGCTTTCAGTTTTATACTTTTGTGTGCGGCGCGGGCAGGATCCGCCAAACTCTCGGGGGCAGTCAGTCCAGCGAAAAAAAAAACTAAAAAAAAGCCAATAAAGAGTCTCGCCTCAGCCTTCGCGAGTGGAATATTTTTTAAATTGTGAATGTACCGTGAATTAATCCCAACTCCCGTCGACTAGTGGCATTCCACCGACGATAAACTCATTACCCTCGATGGCGTGCCTGAAAATCCCCCAGGACAACTGAAAACACCTGGGGCCACTGATGCACCTGGTGCAGCACGTCGACCCCCGATCACCAAAACAACTCCAGCGTTCGGCCCCCGAGAGATAGAGCAAAAAAATTCAGTACAAATTCCGAGACTCCTGGCGATGCTCCTGGACCACTGAATCCTTCTCCTCCCCCTCCTGAACCCGGAGAACCCACTGAACCCCCGATTTTTTCCTGCAAAAAGCGTGAGGAGCAAACGGATCTTGTGTTGTTCCATGGCGATCGCTCCCACTGGCCGAGGAACGTGCTTGCCTACGTCACTGCGTAAGGTGGCACACGGATGAATGTGATACATAAAGAGGAAATCAATTATTTTCATGACTTATCGATAAAATAACAGTGCTAACAGTGATAATTGTGATTTATCGATGAACAAGGTAGTGGATTGTTAAATAGTGTAGTTGATCGCGTCACCGCCCATATGTGATGTGTCCAAGTGAATGAGTAATCATGTACTGCCAGGACAAGGGCTCGGCGGCATCCAAGAGCAAAGAGGGTGGTGAGTTGCTATGTTGTCACGACCTTTTACCATTTCAACATTTTCTCAATTACTTTTTCTCTCTCTCCCCATTCGCTCCTTCAGTCCCTCCTTTCTCTCCCTCTGACCCCCTCCGCCCAGACCCCCTCGACACTCATCTGTGTTAAGCTAGTTTGGGAGATGAAAAGGGAGAAATGGAGTGAAAGAGTTTTCAAATGTTCGGTTCAAAAGAAGAGGAGACAATGAGGAGAAAGAAAGTTAAGAAACATAATGGGGGAGGAAAAGGGGTCGGATATGCAGTGTGTCAAGTGTGCTGTGTGAGGGGGTGGTTTGTCCGAGAGTTCACCAGCGAGGGGGAGAGGTGAGGGGACGGGTCACTTATTTATATCAGGAGAAAAAATAATGGTAATGGAAGAGCCGGTTTACGTTCTTCCATTAACAGTGATGAATTGTTGGTAAGGCTCTCAGGGCTCTCAGCTTTTGTTTTTTTGTTTTGTTTTTTTTTTCTTCTTTTTATTGAAAAGCTCAATGAGTCATTGAGGATAATTTTACAATTGTTTGCGTGAGTACTTCCTGCTACGGTTTAACGATTCATGCTTTGATTCATTGAGGCTTGTTTATTCATTGATTACTTTGGAGCCCTTTGGTGTGGGGTAGTGCGGGGTTTTCGGGGGGGAATGGGTAAGGCGGTGCGTCAGAATTATTAATAAGGTTCCAGGCGGCGGGTGATGTCAGGGTGGGCTTACTTTGTTCAGGTGACATTGAGGTGCTTGACAATTACTTGTGATATGGGAGAGCACATATTTGATCGATTTATCGACGTGGGTGTAGTAATTTTTGGTGGAGTGGCGGAGGCTTTTGCGGGAGGGAGGAGAGGAGGCGACAGGTTTTTTTTTGGAGAATTGAATTTTTGGGGAACATTCGGATGACGGTCTTCTTGGCAGCCTCAGCCTGGATTTTACGGAGGATTTGAACGGTTTTTTAGTGGAATTTGGAATGTTGAATTGTTATTTTTTAATTTTTTTATCGTTTTTGTTGACTGGGAATTTATTTCAGAAATCGGGGGTTTAATTGGGCGATTAATTTGATTTTAAAGAGAATGGGTTTCAACGTTATTCTGTAAAATCAATCATTAGCGAGGTAATTCTGTATTTAACACGATGTCTTTAAGGATATCGGAATACTTGAGTTTTTTCTCATTGAAATCTTTTTGAATATTTATAGACATCAAAGCTTTCACCCCCATTTGACCCTAGGTTGATGCAGGTTTTATTATGTAAACTTCAAAGGTCGAGGCTTAATTCTCCCTTCTGAACCGTAATGAAACATTTTAAACATCTGAAAAAATAGAATGTCCACGATTTTTTCCAGGAGTATTCATGACAGAAAAATTCCAAGTTTTCTACATTACGACCTCTTTCAATTTATGAATAATTTATAAACAAACAATGACCTGCCTTAAAAATAATTCTTTCGAAATCTCAAAAAATTAATCGACATTTTGCAATGTATAGATAGATAGTCTTCGATAGATCAACATCAAGGTAATTGAAAAATAGAATTTTTCCAAGATTACCATTTCTTACATAGATAATTCAGTAGGGAAGTGGTAAAAAAAGATAAGTCATTTTTGAGTATTGACCAGTTTTCAATCAATATCTCGGAATCTAAGGGAGATAGCAAAATTTATGTTATGACCTTTTTTGTGGAGCTGATTGAGTGCTACAATAAATGTGATTACGACAATTTCGCTATCTCCCTTAGATTCGGAGATATTTCTCAAAAACTCAACTGGGAGATAAGTCGACTTATCTCCGTTTACCATTTTACAACTGAATTAATTTATAAGCAATCAATTTTTCGTGATTAAAATCGTTCTTTCGAAATCGCACAGATCGATCGATTTGCTGTCGTAGGTGCATTAATTTTTATTGGAGTAATGGGTTTTCGCTGTTTTGTGGCAGCTACTGTGACGACGAGAAACAGTCCGCCGAGACTTTTTTTTTCCAGAGAATTCAATTTCGAACGGAAAAAAATTTTCTGACGCATTTTCCTCGAAAAAGATTCACTTTACAGATAATCCGATATTGCATAAGATGGGAATCGTTACGTTTGAATAATTCCTCAATCTTATTGATTGTGAATTCTCCTCGAAATAATCGAGAAAATATAAAAACAATTCTTGTGTAGAATTCTTCTCTGAAACCTCCCCACCGCCTTTATCAAGATAATTTCAGATTCTGAAAGATTCGAAAAATCAGCTCGTTTTCTCGATTCGTTTATTCAACGAAGGAAGAAATTTTTTGTTTTCGTCAATGAGTGATAACAGAAACATAAGTGTCTCTTGAAAGTTTTCCTTAAATTTAAGGGTCTAAAATCGCACATTAGCCACGTTAGCGAAGTTCTTTCTAACAACATGTCTTCAAGGATATTCAAGTACTTTAGCCTTTTTTATCAATGAAAACCGTTCGAACACTCAAACATCAGAGTTTCCATTTGGGCCCCATTCCACCCTCATTTACATTTTGAACCGTTACAAAACATTTGAAAATTTAAAAAAACATAGCAAGGCTGTTTTATTTTAAAGAAAGACAATTACTTATTTGATCGATTGTTCAAAGTCAATGAATTAGTAAAAATTAATTTTCGTATTGGAGTTATGTTTTTTTTTGTGCCGCAGGTACTGTGACAATGCGAGAGAAGAAAGGAGGCGCACTGAGCAGGGTACAAAAGCTGAAAAAACGACTCAGTCACAGTTTCGGGAGACTCTGTAAGTTCAACTTTTGTTTGAGCAAGTTGGTTGGGGAAATCTTGGGAAGTTCCCAGACAACTTAATGCCTAACTTTTCATACGTATAATGAAGATAGAATCAATGTCAGTTATGAAGAAAGTACATTGTGATTATGTGGATGATTTCCAGCGATATCGAAGGAGGAAGCTGAAGATGTGGCGAATAGAGGTTCATTGGCTTACAATGGCTTCTCGGAAGAGTTCCTAGACCGTTTGGAGCGAAACGGCAACTTACCTGTGGACAAGGATCGACGTTACGGTGAGTAAATAACTCGATGTTCGTATATTCAATTATTGGGGTTTTGCATATTTTTCCGTCGTTATGGAGGAAGTTTGAATTAAGAATATCAAGTGCTCATTTCTTTACTTTGAAAAAAAAATTATGCGAGACAGGTGAGTGACAATTGGGCAAGAGAGGTAGGGTAATTTTTCTTATGAACTTTCTTGAGTTGAAGAAAGAGGACTGATCCAATGAATAAGTTCTTTGCTAAATTAGCTACACCTTGTTAATTTCTCTTATTTTTGAACGTGAAAAATGGGGGCCTCACATTTTTCATGCTACTCTCATACACTGGAGAAAAAAAAATTGTATCAGACGAGTATTACTTTCACCAAAAAAAATCGCACGCTAGAGGTTGCTAAATTCCGAAAAAAATTGTCACTAAAACGGATTTTATTGTTTGAAAACAAATTTGGAGTCATTTTTTCGCAAAATAATTTTCATTTAGTTTGAATTTCTAAGAGATATCATTAAAAGGAGAATCAAAATACCTACATGTACATGGAAAACGAATCATGAACAAAGCGTTGAAGTTTAAATTGAGAATGTGAAATACTCATTTCTTCATTTTGGAAAAAAATGTATGCGAGACAGGTGATTGAGAAAACTAGAAGGAATGATACAGAATTTTTCTTATGAACTTTCTTGTGTTGAAAAAAAGAGATTTAGATCCAATGAAAAAGTTCTTTGGTAAATTAGCTACAGTTTGCGAATTTCTCATTATTTTCCAACATGAAAAATATGTGCCTCATATTTTTCACTCTACTCTCATACACTGAAGAAAAAAAAATTCTAAAACGAGTTTTACTTTCACCAAAAAACTCGTTTGTCAATGGTTGCCAAGTCTCGAAAATATTTACCATTAAAACAAATTTGATTGTCCCAAAAAATGAGGTCATTTTTTCGTGAAATAATTTCCGTTTAGTTTCACTTTATAAGAGATAAGATTGCGGAATTGAAATAGCGGAATTCAAATATCTACATGATACGTCCTCCAAATGTTGAGCGCGACACTCGAATAATAAAAACGACTCATGAACAAAGTGTTATCAAAAGTTTCGGCCTCAGATCAGATTTTTTAAATCAGATATCTGTCGTCTCCAGAAGATGGACAATGATAAAACCCACAATTCTTTGAATTATCTCATTAATCATAGCAAACAACTTTTATTTGTGGACTTTTTTTTCTTCAGTGTACTTCATGGACTGGTGTGTCGCATCCCATTTTTCTTGTTGGATAAAAATGCTAGACGTGCATTATTTTCTTTCAATAAATAATGGAAATTGGAAGTTGATAGTTAATTGGGAACGTCTGCACTCTACCTGTCTTTAATTGAATGTAACTTCATAATTTTTCAAGCAAACAAATACGGATCGAGTATTGGTCCCTCAATTTTCAAGTGAAAAAAAAATCTCCAATGAAGAACAGCGTCCCTAACTACATTATGCTTAAATAATTGACCATTAACTCAATATTAATTGAGTCTATATTTCAGCTATAAACTTTCAACGACAACGGACATAAATGAGATTGAGATTAAACTATAAATTTGAGAGATAATTCAAAAAATAGTCGTAACAATAAGATTAACTCCTCACGTAGGGGATTAAACCATGTATCGACCCATGAAAATGCGGATGATTATCTTCAAATTGATTATTTCCAAGCCTATGAAAAATAGCTCAACCAAACAAATAACGGAAAAAGGAATACGGTAGCTTCAATTACATATCCTTTTCATAATTTTCCGTTGATTAGAAGTCATCGCATTCTAGTTTTATCGAGCGCACAGCACGCTTGGAAACAAAAGGGCCCCGTCCGTGAGGGGTTCTCGAATTATAAAAACCGCCAATAAAAAACCAGAATGTTCTGAATTCAGGACCGAACTTTCCCTTGAAATAAGAGAAAACTTGCATCAATTCAAATACAACAAGTCTAGATTTGAATCAAAATTACTGAAAAAATGATAAAAAACGATTATGAAAAACGATTATAATTTTGAGAAATTATAATCGTGAAAATCAGAGATTTTTCACTGAAACTAGCCCGTATTTCTCTGTGAATCTTATCCAAAACCCCAATGCTGGATGTTGATCGTACACGGAGAGAAATATTCAGTAAAAATTACGGGAACAATTCCTGTAATCCGCAATGGGGAATTGTTTTCCGGCAATTTTTATAGGAATGGAAGAGAAGAAATATGAAACGTTCAGTGAATTTTCAGGTTCATCAGCGAACAAAGTACGAAATTGTCACGTAATTTTTCCCGAAGAAGTAAAATCTTACAGAAACTTCCCGACTTATTATGCCTCCAAAATCAAAGATTCTTGAACGTTCAACAATTTTTATGAAGCAAGTTTTTATGAACGAAAAATTACGGAACGAATTGTTGTCCGCACAGGGGTGAGTCATCAGACGGATGGTCAATTTTTACAAAACAAATCGTAGAATTTACGTGGCGATTCGCACAATTTCAGTTTCAACTCACACTTATTATTGAATTTTACTTCGCTAGTGGATTACGTTTTGAAAGGTAATTTTTACGTTTTTCCTGGTAATTTTCATTGAATTTTTCTCTCCGTGTCCCGTTATTAGATAAATAAAACCATTATCAATGATGTGGTATAAATTTCAACCCAATTCCTCCAGCCAAGTCGATTACCTCAACATCTATATCCCATGTCGCAGAGTGGGGTGGTGTGGGTGATCATGAGAGGGTACACCGACAGCTGTCAGTATCCAGTGACTCAAAATTACTGGATGAGGATATCAGGGAAGAGGCCAGAGTGATTCTGAGACCTCGCAAGCCCCCCAGACCAAAATCAGAGGTATTTCTTGGGCCAGATCCAGCACCGAGGAGAACCAAAAGATTTTCAGCCTTCGGTGGTGATTCACCATTTGGTAAATCCGAGGGCTACATCAAATTGGAGCAACTCGGTGAGGGTTCATATGCCACTGTGTTCAAGGGTTACAGCCATTTGGCTGAACAGGTCGTTGCACTTAAGGAGATCAGACTTCAGGAGGAGGAGGGCGCACCATTTACTGCCATACGTGAGGCCAGTCTACTGAAGGAGCTCAAACACAGTAACATCGTGACACTACACGATATTATTCATACGCGTGAAACACTTACATTTGTTTTTGAATTTGTTCACACCGATCTCTCGCAGTATATGGAGAGGTATGGCAGTGGGGGCGGTGGACTCGATCCAAGAAATGTGAAATTGTTCCTCTTCCAGCTGCTACGGGGACTGGCTTATTGTCACCGCAGGTAAATGTTTTTTTTTGTGTTTGTGATTGTCGAGGGGCAGAGGGGGGAGATCGGTATTTCTTTTGCTATGCGGGCTGTTGGAAAAAAATGAAATTTTGACGCATATTCATGCGATAATTTTTAGAAGAGCGACATTGAATTCAATTTAGGAGGAAAAAATCAGGAAATTTCAGGAAAGTGCAGGGGAATTTCATTTTTTTTAGCAGTAGAAACACGGGAATGTTGTGATTTACCTGAATTTTCAATCATAAGATCATTATTCGGTAGCGAGCAACGATGAAATTGGGGAGTAATCAAACTGAAATTTAATTTATTCATGGAATTGTGAGTTATCAATAACGAAATCCCTTGAAAGTTCGCTTGAGTCCCGCATGTACGAAATTTCAACCACTTTTCAAGAGAATAGCCAAGCCAGTAAAACCATTTTTTATCGTACAATTGATGACTTTAGATAAATTGTGGTGAAGTGGAGGAACCGAATTTGTCGGATTTTACACTTGATAATTGTGAATTTATCTAACACAAATTGCCCTTCTTGCATCTAATGAGACGTTAAAAATCGAATTGTTATGTTTCGTAGGGTAAAATCACTCTTTTCTGATGTTTCAATATTGAATAACATGTACATCATCAAATCGCTTGATCTCACCACGGCCTCATTCTTATTGATTGTGAATTCATCTCCGAAACAAGGAACTAAAGTTTCTTGAACGATTCCTTAAAAAACAATAATTAAAAAGTGGGATACAGCCCAAACTAGGGATCGGTATCACTCATTAATTTTAGTAATATTTGGTTTGAAACTATAAAATTATAAAATAATTGACAATTAAAATTTTCAATTGACTGGAAATTGAATAATTGAAAATACGGGATTGTAAATTGACTACTGGACAAACATATCCAAATTTCCTAGAAGGAATTTTTAAAATTTTAAAATTTTAAAAATAATTTGCAATGTTGATATTTATTTTGTCATTCCTTCAATGATTTACCATTGATGAGTACTATTAACTATTGACTCCTTAAAAATTTAACTTTATTTAAAATTTATCACTTTGGGGATGTCTGATATCATTACACATTAGTATTATAATAAAAAATTAAAATTAGCAGTACAATTTCTACCATATTGTCTACAGAATACTCAAATCAAGTTGAAACAGCCTATCTGTTGGTCTATTTACCCTACGATCCTTATCC